ATATATGTAAATAAATGAAAGTCACCTCAGGTATAAAAAGTCCTGCACACCTCCTATCAGGGTGAAGTCCAGTGTCTGAATGATTCACTATATAGGCCTACACAGTGTGCATATAGAGAATGACATGTTCTCCAGGTAAGTACTGATGCAACATAGCCTTTGGCTACATCTAACATCTGACTAAGTACTCTTGGTAAGCAATTACCTTTGAATGAAAACTACAGTATGCTCATTATTCTCTATGCCCCCCCAGTCTTTTAAACATTAAAGACGGTTAAAGTTAGTTTTTATTTAGTCTTACAGATCTGCGTAGTCCTTCATTTGATTCCTTTAGTCCGGGTTTGTTGTGTGGTAAAAGTCTTGTTAACATCCGTGGTGGTTTTGGAAGTGCTTTAGGAGTTTCATGAGATGGTTGTGTTAAAGGAAGTGTTCCTGTTTTTTTACACTTTCCATCAGTTTCATTTGGTCCTATGGGTAGAGTTGTGGTGGCAGTTTTTTCCGACTCCACTGACTCTTGTGAATTTTTCAATAAGGTAGATTCTGGTTCTGGTAATTTGCTGAATGTAGGTGTGTCATTGTTTACTGCAGGCTGTTGTATGTCAAATCTGTGTTTTAGGTCATCAATGATAGAGTGACGAGGTAGAGATGACACATACGGAATAAATTTCCTTAAGAATTTTCTATTGCGTCGTGTCACACGTCCAGATCCATCAACTTTCACCAGGTACTGGTCAAACTGTTTTACTTCAGTAATAGTGCCAGTTTTGTGCGATTTATTTGGATGCGGACCAGTCTGATTCTGAATACGAACGTGGCATCCAATAGCAAGTGGTGGTAGGCGTCTAGTGTGTTCGCTCCAGTGTTCTGCGGATCTCATATGTCTGTTACGGAGTGCTTCCTCACGTGCTGCTAATGTTGACTTCCATGTAGGATGTGGTTCGTATCGACCTGGTAGTATTGGAATAAAATCCCTTATTGGCCTCCAAATATACACATTGCAGGGGACAGTTTTGTATCTGGATCAGGTGTATTACGGTACTGTAATATTGCACGCTGCACTGAATTGGTGTCCAACTCACCATTTGGTCCTGTATTGTTCATAAGCAATCGTTTGACTGTTTTGACACCAACTTCAGCGCGACAATTGCTGTGGGGAAATGCTACAGATGATAAACGGTGATGTACACCCCAATCTTCAAGGAATTTGCGTGAATTTCAGAAGAAGTGAATTCAGGGCCTCCATCGGAAGCCAATTCCTCTGGGATCCCATAAGTAGAGAATGCACGGCGTAGACTAGTTTTTAGTCCTTTAGATCCTCCAGATGCATATTCTACAATTGGCCAGTTGGCGTATCTGTCAACAATGACCAAGTAGTGAGTACCCTTAAACATGAAAATATCTGCACAGATGCACTGAAAAGGATACTTTGGTGGTATGGGATTGTAGGGTGGCGCAGAGGGTTGTGATGGTGCAATCTGGTGACAATGGTTACAATTTGCACGCACAGCAGTGATGTCCGCAGTTATACCTGGCCAGAATACAGAAGCCTCTGCTCTGGATATCATGGATGATATGCCTTGGTGAGCAGCGTGAAGTGCAGAGAGTATTTGTTCCCTAAGGCATGGTGGTATAATAATGCGATCCTTGTAAATAATAACACCATCAACACTGTAGATGTGTTCCCTGAATTGGTGGTATTCGCGCAATGAAGGTGGCAATTCATGGCGGTGTTTGGGGATTCCTAAATCAATGATTGACAGTAGCTGATTCATATTTTCATCACTTGCTGTAGCCTGCCTAACTTGGTTCCATATAATTGACTTAATTGTGGAATCAAGGGCATAATTAGCAGAGTCAATCAAATTTTCCTCAATGTCAGTGTAATCATTTACACCATCCATTAGTTTGATGCCTCCTATGAAAGAGTGAAAGATGTCAGCGGAATAAGGTAAGTCCAATCTTCACTAGTACCCGCTGTAGATATTGTGGGGCGACGAATCTTGTCAGTTTTGACATTTGTAGATGACTGAGAGGAAGTGGCATTATGGCTTTGTGCATGTATTGTCAATAGTGTGTTGACAATGGTATCTGCCACATCTTCTGTCTCATAAGTGCAGTCTGGGAATGGGCACTTTACAACTGGCATGCTGGCCTGTAGGATGGACTGTTTACCGGTAGACTATGGTCATACCTGAGCCTTCATAGATAAGAGTACACTATTTGATTTCCAATCTTTATTAACTGGAAACAATGAAGGCTGAAATGCATACAAACTATTAGTAAACTCAGTAATATAATAAATGGAAAAATATGAAATACACAATAAAGAACTAGATTATGAAATACTGATATATGTAAATAAATGAAAGTCACCTCAGGTATAAAAAGTCCTGCACACCTCCTATCAGGGTGAAGTCCAGTGTCTGAATGATTCACTTTATAGGCCTGTACATTGTGCATATAGAGAATGACATGTTCTATAGGAAATCTTATAGGATCATATAGAGCACATTTCCTATAGGATTTCCCATAGGATCCTATAGGAAATTTTTGTAAGTTAAAATCTTGAGAAAAATGCATATCTTATAAACAAATATCATTCTAAACAATAGATATTTGATAAAGATCAATTTTATCAGTTGAATAGTCAATTATATATCACTATTAAAGCAAAAATGCTTTTTATTGATTATAATGCACAATCTTATAGTCTTCTATAGGATTCTGTAGATATTCTTAAATTTCTTTTTTAAATAATTTTTGAAAATTTTTTAAAGTAATCTTTTATGGAGAAATATTTTATCATTAGGAATGTTTTTGTACCAAATCATTGAAGCTGACTTTTTTTAAATTTATGTTAAGACCATTACAAAAGGTCCTATAGGATCCTATAGGAAATCTTATAGGAATTTCTATAGGAACCTATAGGAAATCCTATGCTTATTCATATAGGGAATTTTTATAAGGCTGGGTTGAATGAAAAATAATGAATCTGGTTTAAATATCAGTATATGATTTTGATTTTTTTTTTATTTATGTTTAGACCATTACAAAAATTCCTATAGGATCTTATAGGAAATCTTATAGGAATTTCTATAGGAACCAATAGGAAATCCTATGCTAATTCATATAGGGAATTTTTATAAGGCCAGGTTGAATGAAAAATAATGAATCTGGTTTAAGTATCAGAACAATGTTTATGATTTTGATTTTTAATTTATGTTCAGAACATTACAAAAATTCCTATAGGATCCTATAGGAAATCTTATAGGAATTTCTATAGGAACCTATAGGAAATCCAATGCTTATTCATATAGGACATTTTTATAAGGCCAGGTTGAATGAAAAATAATGAATCTGGTTTAAATATCAGTATATGATTTTGATTTTTAATTTATGTTCAGACCATTACAAAAATTCCTATAGGATCCTATAGGAAATCTTATAGGAATTTCTATAGGAACCTATAGGAAATCCTATGTTAATTCATATCAATAGTGAATTTTTATAAGGCTGGGTTGAATGAAAAATAATGAAACTGGTCTAAATATCAGTATATAATGTATTTTTACTTTTCGTGTGATCATATTCACTTCATATTTCATATTTATTGAAAGTCAACCTTATCTAATCAGATTTTACTTGACCTTGGTTGTTTTAAAAAGTGAAAGTGCAATCCTGCCTAATATAGAAAATATAATGTAAAAGTAAGTGAACATTAAGGGTATGGTACTGTTCCTCATAGAGGATGGGAAACGAGGACAAATTAATATGTTTATAAAGATAAATTTTATGCTTAATCACTTGTAAGGTTTAACAGTCAACTGATGTTAGCTAGAGGATGCCCTACTCCACCAGCCATAGCCATAGATTCAACAACTGTGAATTTATTTTGTTAGCCTAGCACCTATTATTAGGTCACTACTCCTGAAGCTATTGTTACACTAGTAACAGTAACCGCCTATTAGGTGTTATCAGATGCGTGGTATCCTGTCTAAGGCTTTGTTTATATGAGACAAGCAGCAAATGAATATACAGCTATCAAAGCTATTAAATTCAGGAGCATAGTGGAAGGGTACAGAGTCTAGAAAAATCAGATTGAGGAAGGTATGTATAACAGTAATGCATTGGATCATTTGGGCATCTAATCAAATTGAAAATCAGATAATTGATCTAATTTATAGTGTACCTTGTAAACATCATATCTATATTACATTAAACAAGTTATAATTTATAATGTATAGCTTCCCTTTTAGCCAACAAAGAAGTACTGTTTAGTCTCTTTATTTCTCATAAAACTGTGGTCAATTGCTTATCAAAATATTTATTTAAATGCAGTTGAATCTAAAAAAAAAACAATTTACATTTCATTTAACTTTTGGTTTGTGATTTATTAGAAATTATCTATGAATGTTATCCACAACTGCCTCCAAGGGACCATCATGATATATAACTGAGATAGACCCATGCTAATAAATAACATACAATTAACATGTTAGAGAGGCTGTCAGGGCAAATTTCATTACCTCACATGTTCTTCAGGATCGTTTATTTGCCAAGTTTTATTTCCCTTTAATTTCTTTTCAACCCTTAATGTGAGGTAAACACCATAGTTTGTTTAAAAATATTTTTTGCTAGCCTACATATTGGAAATGAAATGTGCATTGTGAAAATTAATCTGACCATTTTGCTTACACGGAAGCTATAAATTGTAACATGGGGGTTGCTTTTTTGTGGTTTGGACTGATGATTTAGGTCAGGCAAAGACTGGTGAGAATATAGGGAATTACTGTTCACCCTCGAATATTAGTTTTCCACGAGTTTTTGGGACTTTTTTCTGGCAGCTCTGTAATGGCCCAATTGCATATTTAACCAGAGTAGAGTTTTCTCCACTGCGGATTTCTGCATTTTAAAATTCGTTTCTGATTGTTCCTGTGGGCTTGGTTCTACCAAATATGTTCATGTTCTTAAATTTTTGTTTTACAAATTATCCAGCTTTAATACCTTGTCTTTGAAAAAAAATCAGTTAACTAATAAAGGCTATGAATTGCTCAAAATAAAATTGGTGCAATGATTATTATTGATCTCATTAGAAAATTTTTCCTTCATCATTCTGAATTTTTGTAGACGTGCAATTAATTGAAATTCACAATGTTTTTCTTTCAGAATGTGTCTGCAAATGGTTCAACACAACTTAGACGGAGCTTAAGAAGACTATCACAGTAAAGTTGAACAATGTGCAAAAGACTTTTGTCTGAAATTCTTCAATTATTAAGTGACTAAAGCAGTATGCTGACAATGTACATGGTCTGGCCAAGGGAGGTTTTAGCCATTCATTCTGGCAGGAGTTCGACCGCACACAAGAAAAAGACAGTGACACCACAGCTTAACAAGACATATTGGATCCTTGTGATAACTTATAGAACTTTTAATTCAAAAGCAGTAGCAGCAACATTAAATTTGCAAAAAAATCTATGAAACAATTCTCTAGAAAGCTGGTTGCATACCATACTGTGGAATATGTACATACATTTATATATATTGAATAAAAAATGTAAACATGATACTCTCTTTTGTTTTGAGGGACCAGTGCTTATAACCAATTTTGCCAAAGTTCCAACAATATATAAAAGGTGTAAAAATATTCAAAGCAGTTAATATAAATTTCTATAGGTTCCATATAAGATTTCCTATAGGATCCTATAAGATTTCCTATAGGTTTTCCTATAGGATCCTATAAGATTTCCTATAGGATTGTCATGACCCGACTTGGCAAGACAACAAGTTTTCTTAAATATTCTTAATATCAGAGCAAACAAGTCATAATAAAATTAAAATACGAACAAGTGCCGTACATCTAACACCAGGAATATTCCAAGAGTTATATACTTCATTCTTAAAACATCAAAAATGGTATAATAGTTTTGATCCAATCCACAAGAAATCCAGAGTGAATTTTGACCAATATAGAAAGATATTGCTAGATCTAGTTAGGTGTCCATCTATAAATAAAACAAGATTTTTTAATTGAATAAATATTTAGTCTACAAAGAAGTACTGGCCTATGACCAGGTTGTACTTTTTAAAGCCTGAAAGGGTTTTGATAAAAAAAAATCATTCAACACCGGTTTAATCATTATAATTAAGATCTGCACTTCTGCCTTGTTCTTTTATTTTACTGCTCAAGATTTATTTCTATTTACTAGTACTATTTTTGTCTCTTACATATTAAACTATTTAAAATAAGACCCTTCCAATTATAATTTTAAAAAATATCCCTAATCTATTTAACATTTACATTTCTGTTTTTAAAAATGCAAAATATTGAAATCTGTGTGATAAACAAAACTAAGTAAACATCCTTAAAGCACTGTTCCTGGGAAATGTTCATTCAGCCTCATGAATATGCACTGACCTTGTTAAAAGTTTTTTTGGAAACTTTTTGCCTTTATACTTAAAGCAGATAACAAGGTTCCAATAAACTCGTTGGCCAAATTAATCTGTCTATTCTGAGGGCAGGAGAAGCACCTGCCCCAGCAAGTTATGAATATTACTTTAGCCAAAACTGACATACAATTAAGATCATCCCCGGCTGAAAATTATTGAATATAATTTGTAATTAAATACATAACAAAGTAAAATGCATTAAAAATTAAAAGAAAAAAAAAAAGAAAAGAAAACTGCAGTATAGAGTATGTTTCATTTTTTTTTTATTTCCTTAGAACCTTCAATGGCCAGGTCATTTACCTGCTGGATATGACAATCAGAAAACTAAATCAATTTTCAAGTTCAAAATTGGGCCGTTTTCCCAGAGTGTCACCCTGCCACCCAGTGGTTGATAGATTCCTTGACTAAATGATCAGCAAAACTTGGCCCCTATAAAACTGCAGTCAAAATTTGGTTAACAGCATAATATTCCCCAAACTTGGCCTCCAGTCAGATTTGATTCTTTTGAGAGCACTATATCCTCTCTCCACTCGTGAAAAGGACAGGGTGATCAAGGCAATTTCAATTAGCATTATTGTATGTATTCTAATCTTTGTCTGGTCTCCTAGCCTTGAAACAAATTCATACACATATCTTTACTTTTGTTCACTATAAACATGCCACCTATCTATGTGCTCTTTAAATGCAGGCCACTCTCAGTGGAAGTCTTGTGGGTCAAAGCCCATCCTGTTTAATACTTAAAGAAAGTATTGTTCCGGAACTTGTCTGCTATGAGAAAGGTTTCTAGGGTAAACAGTATTCAAGACTCTACAAAACACCATCTCTTGTTCAGTCACACCTGCATCAACAGCACCATCAAACAAAATCACATGGAAATAAATTTTCCCTGGTCTTGACTAGAACACTTCCCTTATTGTCAGCTGATGTGAAATTCGGAAATCTGTTAAAAATAAATATAATGATAAAATCATACATGTATGTAGAAACAAGAAATTTACACAAAGCAGATAAAAAACTGAAAATTAATAAAAAATCCATAGATTAATAAAAAATTAATAAAAAATAATGAAGTATTGGCTTTTATATATATAAACACTTAATTACCTTCTGCTTTGTCTAACTGGTATATTTTCATCATTTCATGCCATCAAGTCCATTCTAATGCGTTGGCTTAGGCAGGGATAGGTATGCTGTCAACATTTCACTAAAACTGAAAAAGCACAATGCATAGGAAATAAATTTAAAGTGTGCATATATTGGTCATAAAGTGTGGCTCTGCCTTGACAAACGATTTTTTTTAACTTGGTAAATTTGAAGGCCTTTTTTTACTACCAACAATTTCAGATAAATTGAGAAAAATTGTTTAAAAATCACAATATTAAAACTTATAATGTAAAACAACTTTGAAACCTGGCCAAGAAAGACCTTTAGTACACCTGTAATGCTGATTGCGCAATTTGCTAGTTAACAGGTGTGTACAGACACACACACCCTATTTCGAAAAGGTCTAGATTCCAACTCCATAAGGAAATAGAACGGATAAAGGCATGCTAGTAGGCCTACACATTGTATGTAAACAAAGTAAAACTATAACTTTGCAACAAAATATAACATTTCATTGGTACTGAACGTCAACAAGTGCATCTAAACTATGCGAAGGGAGGTTACTGCAAAATCATTTCTATACATTTCGGCGCTTATATGAAACTTAGTGAATGCAAAGAAAGACTCACCGTTTAGTCTGCAAACCCAAAGCTATGTAGATCTAACTTGAAAGGCAAACGGCAGTTTTTTCCATTCTAAAACCATGTTATGGCAGCGATATGGTCGATCTGCAGGACCGATGGCGTTTTTTCACGTATTATTTTCCATAACAACTCTCACTATGACAATGACACACTGTATACTATAAATATACACTTGAGAAGCTGAACATTCAATTTTTTTAACCGAAATGCAAGATTTGCCGAGAAAATCGCTTTCGAGTCACTTCCTCTGTGCAACGTGACAGTCCCAGTTTCGACTGATCTACATACTTCGAAATAAAATAGGTATTTCACAAAAAAAGGACGGTTGTACAATTTTTTTTTCTTTTTGGCTCAATTCCAGCACATATAGTTGCATAAATCGTTATAATATCAATAAAGTAAGTTTGTCCATTTTTTCTACAATCATTTCATTTTAGGGTACAAAATTACACGATCTGCTTGAGAAAAATGCGTGTGCTATTTTATGACAACTGATACAAGGCTTTCGTGAAAATTGAAATGTTCATTTTACATTGTGGGTTTACATCAAGTTCTAAATTTTATTTTTTGAAAGTTTCAAGCTGAATAATGAGTTATTTTCAGAGCTTCATGGATTTATATAACAACTTCGGATTTTGGAAAACATGGCGCGAAACACACGTCGCGGACTATTTTGTGCAAGCGCGTAGGTGTTTTTGTAATGATCACCGCTTACGCATTGATATGCCAGATCTGCGGACAGACTGATTGGTCAAATCAAACGTCAATACACTGACCTAAGTTGTACGTTCGAACATCAAAATGTCGCAGTTCTTCAAACTTGGTGAAGATAGTCTGTTGTCGATATGCAGTAGCAAACAGGGGGTCCAGTTGGTCGTCTTCAGCGATTTGAAAACGTTGAACAAGATCCGGATGCCGCGAGAAGCATGGGAAGATTTTAAAAACACCCTGCCTTCCATCCAAACTGCTATGTCTACCGATACTGAAATAGACGATCAGCTGGGGGAAAACTATGGTGTCCGTGTGCTGTACGACATTGGCAAGAAGGAATATGTGATGAAGCTAGCCTACGCACCAGTAAGTGCGTCGTATGAAGCGATGTACGATGTACAATTTGACAAACGCACATTGGAGTCGCTGCTGACCAAAATGCCTGAAATCAACGCAGCACTGGGTGAAATCCCACCGACAACAGTCAGCGAGGAGCCGGAAGAAAGTGATGAAAGAATGTTTGGAGCCGAAAACGATGTAGAAGCAGACGTAGTATTAATTCATCTCATTTACGTTAAGTTGATAGTGCAGGAAATAGAGGCCATGCGTTACAGGTACTGTACTGGGTGTATAGCCGCGCACGGTTCCCAAAAGCATCACATGGATGGGTGTATGGCCGACTGGTCAGTTTCGGTACATGTTTACTTCACTAGGGCAAAATCTGCTGTAAGTCATGAGGTAATACTGAAGGCCTACAAGTTAATGAAGAAAAAACTGAGACAACAAGAGAATCCATACATACTTTCCGTCATCATGACTGCATCGCTGTTGGAAGATTTTCGGAAAGACGTGGAGGAACCGAGCCATGCGTTATCCCCTGATACCGTCCTCGCTCGTATGGTCTACGATGTGTGCAAGATTGTATATGGCGAACATTTGTATAAGGCGATAAAAGCTCAGAATAAACTCTGAATTTAACAGAAAAAGACGCCGTATAATCTGTGTAGAATTAACAAAGTTTGCATGTAGAAAAAAAAAAAAACACCACTAGCTAGAAGTGTGCGATGAAAGAAGACATTTGATTGGTTGATTATGACATCATATCTAAAAATAGATTTATATGTGGAACGTTACTTTGATGTGATGAAGACAATTTGATGGTAAAGAGTTGATAACAAACATTTCATTGATTAAAATAATATGTGATTTGATTGGTTGAAAAAATGTTATTTGTTGTTAGCTGTAACATGATTGGTTAGAAAAAAAATGTAATACCTTTTAAGAAGCAACATGATTGGTTGAAATAAACACACCGCTTACCGGAAAAATTACATAAATGTGTTTGCGATCATTTTTCTTTATACTGAGTAGACAGAATGGATGATGATCATCCGGAAACCGATTCCGAGTTGGGGGGTGTGCTATATGGACCGGTCATGCCATACGCAAAAGAAGAAGACCGAATTTTGAGTTTTCTTAATTGGCCGGGCAAACTACTTATCAACCCAATCCCTTTAGCCATTAGTGGATTTTACCGAGACCCACGAGCGTCTAGACACGATGATGTGGTTCGTTGTTTTTACTGCGATTTGTATCTAAAGAATTGGGACCCGCTGAGAGATGCCCCAGATGTCGAACACGAACGACACTCTCCTCAGTGCACGATGAGTACCGTTGGAAAAAGAATAAATCAACGATTTAATGTACCACTTACACCTAAAAAGCGATTTCAAATGGTTAGGCTTTTTGTGGTAGATGACACATTGCCCGTTGTACATACCGCCAGTACAGTGATGTCGCTACTAAATACCCATTACGATGAAACTGATGGGAACTATAAATAAAGATAGGATAAAGAGAGAAAACATTTTGCTTGTTGGAATTGATCCATAACTGTATGAGAAAATGTCACGTAAGAAAAAAACCAAGAAAGGACAGAACAAAACAGATGCATATCTGCATAGTTTGTATACCAACCCGTCAAACCCTGTAAGCTTTGGTGGCATGATAAAACTGTATAATGCCGCACGAAAAGATGATAAGATTTTCTAGCCGCCCAAGATGTGTATACATTACATGCACCGGTTAGAAAACAATTCAGTACAAATCGCGTCATGGTGAATTATATTGATGATCAATGGCAGGGTGATCTGGCAGACCTCAGTAAAATAGCAAAATACCATAAAGGAATGAAATTCTTGTTAACCGTGATTGATATATTTTCAAAATACGCATGGGCAGTTCCAATCAAATCAAAATCAGCGGACAATGTATTAGATGCGTTTAAAGTCATTGTTTCCGAAGGCAGAAAGCCACTGGTACTTCAAACTGATGCAGGGACAGAATTTACAAATAGAAAATTTCAAGCGTACCTCAAGAGTCAAGGCATAGCTTTTTTCACAACAAAATCGGAAAGAAAAAGCTCTGTGGTTGAGCGTTTAAATCGAAGCATAAAGACCCGTTTGTACAGATATTTCACAGCAAACAGTACGTTAACATATGTGACAGTCCTAAACGACTTGATGACAGGATACAACCATGCAAAACATCGAAGCATAAAGATGCCCCCAATCGATGTGAATCCACGAAATGCAAACATTGTGTGGAAAAACTTGTATGGAAAAGTAAAAATAGGGAAGTCGGGGTTTAAATTTCAAGTAGGAGATACTGTAAGATTAAGCAAAACACGCACCCCTTTTGCGAAAGGATACGAACAGGGATGGACACAGGAAATATTTACAATATCAGAAAGATTAAACAGAACACCTCCTGTGTATAAGGTGAAAGATTACAATGGAAAGCAAATCGAAGGTGTCTTGTACGAACCAGAAATGATTAAAGTTATTAAAATTGACGACGCGTATCGTATCGAGAAAATAAAGACCCGTGGAAAAGGGAAAACTAGGCAGCTTTTTGTAAAATGGGTAGGTTATGATGATCGTTTCAATACTTTGGTAGATTCGAAGGATGTACAAAAAACATAAATGTAACTGGTACTAGTACCTGCTTTGCTTTTAACAACGTGTGATATCAGGATTTGAAATAGGTAAACTTACGTCTGTATGGAATTTTCCAATTGGGCCCAAGAAGTATAGGGTCCTATAGTGCATATTTATCCCACTCTGGCTCTACGAAATATTCTATCTGGCGTCTTTTAGGAAACACGTGTCCTCTAGGACGTCCGATGCATTTTCTATAGAGTCTCAGTCACAGAGTCCAGTACTAAGTACCATGGAATCCCCTAGAACGTATTAGGAAGGTACATTACTTTGTCTCTAACATAACATAAAATCACATGGTTATCTGTCATGTTAACCACTGTGACATTATGTAACTCATATTTATATGTTTCACAAGTACTACATACAGTGCCTTTTCAAACATTACCCGTTAATTTTCCCTACTACTAGTACGTACATGAAAACCCAGTACTACAACTGACTATTTTATCTTTTTCATCTCGTCAGCTAAATGTGTTGTTTAAAGGTTTATTACGTGTAAGTTGTTGCACATGTTATAAAAAGTATAATGATTCTGAGTACCAAAGTTCTTGGATATATCTCTTTAACGTGTGTTCTTACCCACACACCTGTTGACAATCACATTACCCCTATTTCTAAACAACTTCATCGGCTACCCATAAAAGCACGGGTCCTTATAAACTTAAAGCATAAGTACACGCTGCCTTTTACAACTTGGCCCTACCATATTCATGCGATCATGTATGACTCTACGCCCCCCCCCCTCAATCACGCTTTTCCGACCATTTACTTTTAACGCCGTGTAAAGCTCGACTAGTCACATATGGTGACTATTTTTTTTTTTTTTTTTTTTACATTGCTGTACCTGGGGACTATAATTTATCGCCACTTTTACTGCGTAGGACAGATTATTCGGTTACTTGTACTCGAGACATATCCATTTATAAAATTATGAATAGAGTTTCTATTAATGAATTTAAGTGAATGATCAAGTTACATTTTAATTTATACATATTTTTACACATATTTGTTTCAATTAATTATCTAGCCTTCATGTAATTTCTTACAGTTTTATTGTAAAGTCTACAACAAATTTGGATATTAGACTCAAAATAAATATTATTATGAATATCACTTTTATTATTAGCATTAGCATCTTGTAAGTTTATATTATCAATTGGATAATAATAAAAATAAAAATAATGATAATAATAATAATAATATTATTTTAAGTCTAAAATTAAGTTTAAAATATTTAGTAGATTTTACATTTAACACAATTAAAAACTTGAAACACAATCAGCAATTTTATCACCGATAATCTTACATGTAAGTGTTTTTTATTTGAAATTTATTTATCTGAATGTATCTTAATTTTATCTACCTGTATTAGTTATTAATTTTAATTTCATATAAAGTGTAATTATCACATTTTCCATCTTTTGAAATAATGTTTGATTTTCATACATCTTGATACTAACGTTTTAAAACTTGTCTCTTTTTATTTATTTTTATACACAAACATTATTATCTTGATTTTAATTCATTTTTTATTTTGTTCATTTATTGGATATGCAACACTGACCATGATGAACTATGACATGGCATGGCGGTCCACTGTCTCTTTGATTTATGCTCCATATGCCTTTATTCCACAAAAAGAGATGCGTTGTCAGAATGGACTGATATAACATATCTGCTTATTTGGTGCGGTAAAGCTACTGAACAACCTATACGTTTTACAGATGCTTTATAGCCATGAGTTATTTGTTTTACATGGTCGCGTTATCTTGTTGACATGGTAGATCAGTCTATTTTGAAATACCAAAATATTAATATCATTTTAATTTGCATGTGACATTAATTATTTCGGTTTTCATGAAACTGCAACCGTAAACGAATTTAAGACCGACTGTTAAGAGAATTTATTTATTTATTTATTTATTTATTTATTTATTTATTGAGGATAAAAGACGTTATTTATCTTCCCCATGGACTTCATATCTTGTAATACGTTCGACTGTACTACGTTCGGTCACATAACCAAATACTCCCCATTTATCTTTTCATTGTTTACAACTTTGTGTAGCATGTAATACATGTACATCACAGAATTCTGCAATTATTATCGAATCAATTATATATTTTTACCGACGGCTTTTAATGCCTCTAATACGTTATTTTTTTACGGCCAAATCCGACTTCGAAAAGCTGTTTTATCGCATACACATCCCATGTCAATATTGGGACAGTGTGACAACAGCATAAAGTATTCGCATGCAGAACTTACCAAATAAGACAGGAGCATGGTAACATAAATGGGGTTCTCCAAAGATGACTGCAGGACAAATATCCCTGAATTTGAGAGCAGAACTAGTGGTTCTCAGGTAGTGTGGTTTTATTATTGGAACCTCTAACCGAACATGTTACTCCTGCACAAGTACATGTACGCTGTAATTCGTCAATCATCGGCAACTCCCTGTCAATCAAAGCACGTAATTCGACCTCAAAAAGCCTCAAAGTGACAATGCGTGACAGTTGGCACGCCTTCCCACCATTATCGTATTAACCAGCGGGTCAGATGAACTAGCTAATCCTCTCTGCCCGCTACAAATAGGGCGTAGTATTGAGGAGTTGGTATTTCTGCTACCCCACAGAGCAACCTACATGTACATCTTAATAACCCTAACATTTGTTGATTTAGCCGTATGGGTCAATATATATATACCCCGAGTAATACGTCTGTGTATATTTACTCCGTGGACCATTGGAAGATAATACTCCAAATTAAGGCCTTAAGGATATTACAAATACGTCTAAAACTCAATTTTTGGTTTTTATATACGTTAGAAATAATCAATATTGTATCTTATACTGAATTAAATTACATTTTTGCAACATGGACTAAAATATACATTTGGACGAGTTTTTCTACCTGTCCTGACTGGTACGCGTGGCACCGTTACGTGTGGCATTGTCCTCTGCTTGCACCTCAAGTAATTTGCTTTTTGTTTGTTAGCGCTTCCTTAGACACTTCCTAGACAGTGCACAGACTCCTACTGCGTCTGTCCCGCCTACTTAAAGCTGTAAGGGGGTAATTGACTATGGTGCGCGCTCGGCTGACTGCAATTTAGCGTGAAACCCCAGGGAGTTAGGTCGATCTAAATCTTAATCTCTGGATCGATCTTAATCTCTTGGAATGCACCCTGATCTTCAACCACCATATCTCATTATTTAACTGGCAGATTGACATGAAATTTGATATGGCTGTGTTTCAGTATATTTTTGGTCAACTATACCTTGAATTTTTGATTGACCTTTTATTTTTGAAGTTATTAATACTGAAAGTGGAAGGTCCATATATATTTCGTGAAATTCACGTTTAATCGGAATAAAATCAAAAGTAAAAATAAATAATAGAAAATTCAGAATCGGTTTTTGTGCTAAACTTTAGATAGCTCTTCAATCGTATTTACAGGGCTTTTTGTTCAAGTCAAAACCTTGATAAAAAATTACAATATTTTAGCCCCAAAACGTTGATAATACGTCACTGTTACACTTCGACTTCAAGCGTTGGAAAATAATTCCCACGCGTCGTCCCTGCAGAGGCACAGTGATTAAATCTCGGCTCAATTTAACCGGTCGAGGGACAACGCGTGGGGAGGCGTGTGAAAGGCGGAGAGACCATTACAGGATTAGCGCTCTTCCTTTCATGTAGGTCTGCCATATTTAGGTCGCGGTCTTACTAACACTCGGCTCTTCTCGATCTGAATGGTCCCTAAGTGAGCTATATGAATGGGGTTTATAGCTCCTCGCTTGCACCCTGCACTGTTAAATCACCGATGACTTTCCAAGCACTATTTAACTCCCTTTCTGATATCAGAGCCCCACTAAAATATGTACAAAACCACACTGTGCTTTTCAGCATTTTGTACCAGAGTACTGGCGCAACTTGTAGTCAGAGAGTACTATTTAACCATGATTAAGGAAAGTGATTGAAGTCATCAGTTTCAAATTTTAGAAATGTTAGTAATCTTGCCTTTTTGAACACTGACCGCCTTCACAAAAGACCGTAAATAATGCAGAGAGAAGGAAAAAGTACCCTAGAGAGAGAGAGAGAGAGTAAGGGGGAGGGGGATTACAGGAGCGTAATATGAAACAAAAATGATACTGGGTAGATTGTTTTCTCCTGTATTTTCTGCATGTATGTTAAAGAGTGGAGAAAATGTCTTTTCAGCTTTTGTTTTTTTAGATAAATATTTATTTTGAATTTTATTCTTGCACTGCTGTGCAGGAGCAGACAATACACATTAGCTTATATAAACATTTTATTTCCGCTATGTAAACTACCCCCTCCATAAACGAGTCAAGAGATTATATGTATACATAAATGACTTCATATTTCAGACAAACATGTCATTACTGGTACAGTGTGAAACACTGATTTGGGGAATCCCAGGCATAAGGTTTTGCAGCTGTAGATCTAACATACAGTAGTATGGGACAATATGGGAATGTCCAACCTACATCAAAGGGTGCTGTTTTCTGCGCAGTTTTCGATATAGCACCAAATAAGGTAAGTACTGTGCATTAGCGTAATATGGCTCCAGGTAATCAAGGGACAAGTTAACTAAGTAAAACACAAATAGACGATAGCATTTGATCATAGTTGACTCACCTTGCCTATTCCTTCTCAGCAAAATGGCGGACACGGAAAGTTTGGCTGTTAAAAATAAAAAGGGGGTTCCCCGCACAAATGTTCCCGTACAAATGATATTCATACTTCAGAGTACGGGTGTGTTGAAAATAAGGTAAGTGTATGCAGTAAACCTATATGAGGATTGTTCACAGATACCATTAGGTGTATTTCACTGTTCTGTTCCCGCCTATATATGATACACATAACAATTGCGGAGAAGCATAAGACAAGGTGAGTAAATTAAGATCTAACGCTTTTTTCAACACTATTCTGTTTGGGACAGAGTCTTAAATAGATATGAATTTAAAATGAGAATATCTGTGTCCGATGACCACCTAACTCGTACTTTTTTAACGTGGTTGCGTAATATTGTAACGGGGACGGTGCGGTTGTTTGGCGTGTGCGCGAGGTTCGTAAGAATGACACAACAGTATACGATAGGTTTCCCTATCAATACACTTTATTTCTTTCACTCGTTACATATACAGGGACATCTAGCTTAGGTAAAGCACAGCGCTACGGTAAGACGGTGACCCAATCGTTCCCTCGATCTTGACTCTGATTGATCCCGCTGTCCTCAGTCTCCCTGTCGTGCTCTCGTCGTTGCTGGTCACTCTGACGTCCCTGGGATCGGTGTACCGTTCGTCTCCTGTGTTGAAATCAAGGTCCCGTGTCTCGAAAGCTTCGCTATGTTGCGCACGTGTGCAAGCATGGCGAGCGTGCACTATCCCATATCTCTAAACTAAGATCTAATATACCGTTTATTAGATCTTAGCTCTAAAGCTTCGCAAATCGCGGCCGTGCGCTAATGTCGAAATCACCATTAGTTTCGAGGCTATTATTTGCGGCGATACAAACTAGTCGCAAAGGCCTCTGCGTATGCATAATTCGTCATTTTAATGTGTCTTTCATGTAATTATACATGGTGGTAAGTTTGGGTTGCTAGTCATAATAGCATATAATAAAACATATAACAAAAACATGGAGGCTTTTAATTAAATGAATCATTGGTACATCTGATAGAAACACTTGCGGTAAATATCCACGTGAAGAATGTCAAAGTCATGTTTATTATGCAGATAAATTTCAAAATTAAACATTTCATACATCATTTTATATTTCTGGTGAATTTAATTCATCTGTGTAGTCTATTGATAATAGTAGTGAATAAATTGAAAAAAAAATGAAAAAGCAGAAACAAAGGATTCGGTCGCACCGTGACCTTCCTCAGTGTCTATTTTTGTGAGACTGAACACTACTCACCAATGTGTCAGTAATTGTGTCAGTCCAAGCTTCGCTTATTGAATTGTTTTTTGGCATTTTATTGGTGTCAAATACTTAAAATATCAGTATTTGTAATTATGGTATTCCTATAAATAAAAACAACCTTTTGATTTGCGTCATGGTGAAAAAAATTACATTTTGTGTAATTGTGTTATGACGTCTTCACTTTATGCGGCAATCGAATTTTAGTAGAGTTTGAGGCGTTGCGTTTGCTAAGGCTTCGAGATAGCAGGTGGCAAATAGCGCACGCTCGCCGTGCTCGCGCACGTGCGCAACATAGCGAAGCTTTCGAGATACTGAGCCCAGGACGCCCCTTTATACTGAATTTTAAGGGTGAGGTCACTGTTTACCGTGTCTGATGGTGACAGGATAATTCAGCTATGGTGCCCGATGGTGTCAGTGTAATTCTCCTTATATAAATGGTTACTAGTTATATTGGCTACTTGGCCTTAAACTTCTACTCTATAGTATGCACGTTGATAAAACAATACTTTCACCCGGAATTGATAGTTAATAAACATAATACTGGGCGCTTACTATAATATATGTGCGGACCTTCGAATATATATATTATAAGGATCGATGGTCACATTTGCATCTCCAGTTAAGGTAGCACTGTCCAACACCGACTTTCAAGATAGCTAAAGAATTATCTGTACATTTGAGAGAATAAAGGATAATCACTTGGAATTGCTCTTGTAGAAAATCTGAGATAGAGATAGAGATGACCGTGGTGTTATTAATATATTCTCAGGAAGCCAGGTGTGGCATTGGCCTTTTGCACAGAAGTTTTAATTACTAAATGTTACGTAAAGGGTCATTTCGCTACCAACTGCGTTACAATATATTGAGAAACAGATTCTTTTAGTTAAAACCCAATACTGTATTCATTCAAAGTATACTGTACAATTTTACAAAAACAAGTTTTTGCACATTTGTTTTATCCATCTATTGATTAGAAAGCCCTATTAGGTGAATGTTGTTTGTATTTTTGTATCCAGCTGACGTAGTGTTTTCTTGTATTCACATAAACTGGGTTCCCATACTTAGATCGATCCATCTGAATCGACCTAACTCCCTGGGGGTTCACGCTGAATTGCTATCGGCTCAAGAGGCTTAAATGTCTGTCACGCCTACCGAATCAGCTAGGGGGTAAAGATAATTACCTAACAGTTTACCCCCTACCCTATTACCCCCTAACAGTTTTATTAGACGTGACAAACGTTTAAGCCGGTTAGGCCACACTTTTTTAATTTTATGGATGACATCCTCTGGGTACCCCAAAATCGGTGCGAGAGGGCGAAAAAAAAAAACGGTCCAAAAAAAAAATACTGCTTAAGTAAAGAAATGCTGTCAGTACACAGCTGGAAACACAAATTTTACCACAGAAACACGTATCAAACTAACAATATGTCTTTATCCATGTGTA